AAGGCTGTACCGGGACAGTGGCCCCGGCGGTGGGGTTTGTTGGTATGCATGGCCACTAGTACGCCCAAAATTTACCATGTTTATATTTATTAATTTACCTATTTTATTATAGCAATTACAGTAAATATAAGGCATGTTATACCGGTCTCTACGACGGCCTACGGGTGGCTATGGAAAGGGAAAGGTGTCCCAAGTCTTACTCTACGCGAATCATTATGTCGATCGGGAATAGTGTCGGGTTTCCCGTTAGGATGATGTGCGATAGAGGGGACGGTAAGTCCCAGTGCCCGCCCAATCGCCGGAGATCAGGGTAATTTTGAATGTGTTTTTCATTATATTCTGTCATAGACTTTATAACATATTTGTTTAGTTAATTATGTGTTAATTTAACTAAAATTATGTATTTGAATTTATATAATTTTTTATTTTGTATTTTTAATAGTGATAATTTGTAATTTATAATTATTTAATGTTTATTTTAATGTATTAATATACTAAATATATTGTGTAATGATTATTTTAAACTATAAAAGTAATACATTAAATATTATTTTAAAAATTAATTATATTTTATATAACAATTATTTTAATTAAGACATTTTATTAATTAAAATATATTGGGAAAATGTACTAATATATTAAGGTAAACTAACCAAAATACTAAATGTCCAAAAATAATTTGCAATGACATCATAAGGATATTGTTTGGGGGATACTTATCCATACTTAAATAACATTGAAATTGTGAACCTGTTATTAAAAATACACTTTTATAATATAGCATTAGGTAAATGTTTTGTACAAACCTAACTAGTTTTTCAGTATATAAATAACATTTCAACATTTATTGTTATATGAGTTTCTATCACTAAAAAATTTTACCACAATGTTTTCTTCAATAAAACATTATTTTTCTATCTTATTATTACTAGTAATAGTGTGTGAACACAGTATATTATGTCAAAATATATTTGGTGGCGGCGGTGGGGGCCGTCTACCAGGTGTTGGACAATGCGATGCCATCGTTACGGCCGGTGTATTCAATTGTATGCAAAACTATTTACCCCGTAATATACTCTCGGGGTTTAGAGCCTCCGGGGGTTCAGGCAGTAATACCGATATTTGCTGGTAAGTGCAGTCTAG